CTGGGTGGACCAGGCCCTGCCCGGCCCCCGTTGGAGGCACGGGGCTGCGTGCCCCTCTCGCTGTCTTTGAAGTTTGGGGGCAGGACTGGGCAGCTGGCTGTTCTGGCCACGCGGATGTGGGCTGCTGGGGGCCGTGAAGAGTGCAGGTTTGCTCGGGGGTTGTCATTTTTCCCTGTGAAAGGAACACGTTTCGGGAAAGTCAGACCAGAGAACAGCTCACGTCGAGGTGCCTCGAGGTGCCGTTGGTGACCCCGCACTTGCTGCTGCGCGTCGGGACTTGACTTGGGCGCTGCCGCTGGGGCCCTGCTTGTTTAACCCACTGGGAGTTTTCCGAGCGGGAGGGTGGCCTCCAGGCCTTTGGCAACACGTGTCCCCTCTGATCTAGGGAATTCCTGGGCAAGCCGGACGCCGGGCGCCAGCACTGAGTCTCGCTGCCTGAAGAGCATGAAGACCTCTGCCCTTGTCCCCTCCCTCTGGCCAGCCTGGCGCCCAGAGAGGCACCTGGACAGAGGACGTGGTCTCCAGCGGGTGGGCAGTGGGGCCCTGGCAGACCTCAGGCGCCTGCCCCGGGGGCTGGAGCACTGATCTCTGTGGACAGTGCGGGTGGTGGGCGGGTGGCCCTCTCTCCCTCTTGCTGCCACTCACCCTGAGGTCTTGTTGGAAAGACAGTGACAGGACATTCCGGCCGTTGGCTGGTTGATCTCCGCTTCCTGAGCTGGGCATTGGAGCCTGGGGAAGGAGGCGTGGGGTCTCGGGACCATGCCGTGCTCTCTGGCACCACCCTCGAGAATGTGGGGAACCTGGCTGGGTTCCTTCTGCCTCTTCCTAGCACATGTGGAATGGACTCCAGTGGTTCCTCACCCCCTCCTGCCCTGTGCACCCGCTTGCCTTCCTCGGTGTCCCTGCCTCCCTGGGTGGCCCCACTGCTCCCAGGGGGGAGGTGCCTGGGATCTGCCTTCCTCCAATTTCCACCCACCTGTCCGCCTAACCTGGCCTTAGACTGAGCATTTATTTAAGAATAAAATCATCATGGTGGTCTGCCTGTTTTCTCAGTGACACCTCCAGTTGTGCCCAGGCCCTGCCCACAGCCCCAGGCCACTCCCAGAACCCGGTCATAGGGCAGAGGGGTGGCTCCGGAAGGCCAAGGATCGCAGTTATCTTTCCTCCTCCCTTCTGGACTCTGAGGCTCCTCAGGAAGGGCCGTTGTCTCTGCGGGAGGCCTGTTCACGGTGGGGACGGCTTCTCCGGGTGGAGAGGTGGCATTTTCCTACAATATAGCTTACACAGGTGACCCTTTCAGCCTTAACGGTTAACAAGCTCACTGAACATCACTGTCGGTGGGCGGGCCCCTGACCACTCAGGAGAGGATGCGGGCTGCTCCTGCTATCTGGTGGTGGCTCGTTTGTCTGGCTTTTTGTCAGACCAGCTCCGCCTGCACTTGTGTGCCCCAGCCAGTGTCTGCCCCCTCTGGGTCCCACTTCTCACCTCCCTGGCGATGGCTTCTTACAGTCTAGCTATGTCACCTCTACTCGAGGACAAGAGGGTACACATCTTAATATGGAAGGGGACTTAGAGCTGTGCAGGCGCATGGTTTGTCCCAGACTGGAGAACTTCAGTCCACCCGAGTCTCCCCGATCCTCAGGGCCTGCAGCGTTCTCAGCACAGAACTCCCCAGGGTTGGGGAGGGGCTCGTTCACCTGCCCCAACCCTGTGGCCTGTATTCGCAGCCGGGGGCCAGCTGGAGGGTCACCCTTCTTTCTGAAGCACCTCAGAGCTGCCTGTCGCTATTCTCGTATCTGGAAAACCCATGCCTTGCTTTCTTATGGTTTTTCCTTTTTTTAATTGACGTATAGTCAGTTTACAGTATGTCAATTTCTGGTGTACAGCACCATGTCCCAGTCTTGCATATACATACATATACTCATTTTCATTTTCTTTTTCATTAAAGGTTATTACAAGATACTGAACCTAGTTCCCTGTGCTACACAGAAGAAATTTTTTTAATCTATTTATGTATATAGTGGCTAACATTTGCAAATCTCAAACTCCCAAATTTATCCCTTCCCACCCCTTTCCTCCGGTAACCATGATTATTTACTATGTCTGCGAGTCTGTCTGTTTCGTAGATGAGTTCATTAGTGTTCCTTTTTTCCCCTTTTTTTTAGATTCCACGTGCGACTGATACCATACGGTATTTTTCTTTTTCTTTATGGCTTAATTCACTTAGAATGATGATCTCTAGGTCCAACCATGTTGCTGTAAATGGCATTATTTTATTCTTTTTTATGGCTGAGTAGTATTCCATTGTATATGCACCACAACTTCTTTATCCAGTCATATGCTGATGGACATTTAGGTTGCTTCCATGTCTTGGCTGTTGTAAATAGTGCTGCTGTGAACATCTGGGTGCATGTGTGTTTTCGAATTAAGAGTTCCCTCCGGATATATGCCGAGGAGCGGGGTTCCTGGGTCCTATGGTAAGTCTATTTTCAGTCTCTTGAGGAATCTCCATACTGTTCTCCACAGTGGCTGCACCAAACTGCATTCCCACCAGCAGTGTAGGAGAGGGTTCCCCTTTCTCCACAGCCTCTCCAGCATTTGTCATTTGTGGACTTTTGAATGACGGCCATTCTGACTGGTGTGAGGTGATACCTTATGGTAGTTTTGATTTGCATTTCTCTGATAATTAGTGATACTGAGCATTTTTTCATGTTCCTGTTGATCATTTGTATGTCTTCATTGGAGAATTGCTTGTTTGGGTCTTCTGCCCCTTTTTTTGGATTGGGTTGTTTGGTTTTTGTTTTGTTGTTGTTGTTAATAAGTTGTATGAGCTGTGTATATATTCTGGAAATTAAACCTCTGTCAGTCTCGTCATTTGCAAAAATTTTCTCTGTAGGTTGTCGTTTTGTTTTGCTTCTGGTTTCCTTTGCTGTGCAGAAGCTTGTAAGTTTCATTAGGTCCCATTTGTTTATTTTTGCTCTAATTTCTATTGCCTCGGTAGACTGCTCTAGGAGAACATTGCTGAGATTTATGTCAGATAATGTTTTTCTTGTATTTTCCTCTGAGAGGTTTATCATGTCTTGTCTTACATTTAAGTCTTTAAGCCACTTTGGGTTTATTTTTGTGCGTGGTGTGAGGGAGTGTTCTACCTTCATTGATTTACATGCTGCTGTCCAGTTTTCCCAGCACCATTTCCTGAGAGACTGTCTTTTTCTCCATGGTATATTCTTGCCTCCTTTGTTGAAGATTTAATTTACCATAGGTGTGTGGGTTTATTTCTGGGCACTCTGTTCTGTTCCATCGATCCATATACTGCCTTTGTGCCAGCACCCCCATGCCTTTTCTTAGACCAGGTTTGAAACAGACAGACTCGCCTCTCCTCAGGTCAGCTTTGTCAGGTTGTCTGTTCCCTCCCTGGATGGGCTTGCCCTGCACTCCTGGTGTCAGATTCAGGTGTGAGCGCTGCCTGCAGGGCCGCGGATTTCCATGGCCGCTGGGCCACACCGTCCCGACCCGATGCCGCCTTCCTGTAACTGCTCTGTGTCAGAGGCCCTGAGAGTCACCAGAAAGTGCCTCCCTGGCCGGACAGCCCCTTCATGAGATCACCACCCCACAGCGCAGAGCCACATCCCCAGGCCGTCCTGGCCAGTGAAGCCGTGGGACCTGCTCACAGGCCGTGTAGACCTGGGCTGCTCCGACTGGGATCAAGTCCTGTGTCTCTGTAAGTTGCCTCAGATCTTCTTAGGGGTGTGAGGTAGGAGGCAAAGTAAACACGTGAGCTGTCGTTGTTTCTGCAGGTGTCTGACAATCTGAAGACAAGGGAGTGCTGAGGGGCAGCTGCCAGAACATCACCTGGCAGGTTACTAGGTCTGCACACCCACCTGGAGGGGGGTTGTCTCAGCTTGTGACCTCGGTCCAAGCACTTGAGCTTCAACTGGGTTAGGACCAACCCTTCGGAGGGTCACAGGGTTGATCTGTGGTCTGGAACAGCTGGACATTCACAGCTGTGAACCATGGTCACACGCGTGTGTCACGGGAGCTCCCTAGACCTGAGACCGGGAGAAGGCATCTCCCACACCCCCACCAGGGTCTGCAGCGCGCAAATCCCATCCCTCCTGGTTTTCTATTCAATCTGCAGTCACACAATTTGGCGGGGGGGGGGTGTTGGTCCCCAGGGCATTCCACTTCCCAGGGCCAGGAGCAGTGGCAGAAGATGGGTGTAGGGAACAATACAGTTCACACCGTGTCAACACCCTGACGACGGTCTTCCCAGCGTCTGGGTTGGACGATTCTTTGTAGAGCTGGTGGCCCAGACACACGTGCTCCTGGTCCCACATGCAGCTGGGTGAGACTGTCCTCAGGCCCAGAACAACGGGCTGTGGTGCAGCCTGGCCCCCCGCCCACAGGGCCACACACCAGGGACCACGCGCCGCCCTTGGTGCAGAGTGAAGCGCACAAGCCGGGTCAGCCAAGCATAAGCAGTTTAATTGGTTTCTCACACGAGGTGGTACAGGAGGGGCACAGTGACAGTCACAGTCGGCCTAGGGACGGGCAGCAGAGCATATCGGGGGCACAGTCACACCCCAGAACGTGTCCCTGTGACCCTGGAGAAGTGTGCAGTCAGTACGGAGGTGAGGGCAAGGCCGCGGGAACGCGCTTCTGCCCACGGCTGCGGGCTGCTCTCTGGGCTCTGCTCTGAGCCCACCTGGCCCTTCTCCAGACCAGGCTGCTGCGCTGCTGGCAAGGGAGCGGGGAGGGGGCCGGCTTCACACGTAAGACAGAGACACACCCCAGACGTGGAGGGGCGTGGGGCAGGGGCTGCACGCCCTGCCCCATCCAGCAGAGGCGGCCCCCGGGCCCCACGGCAGGGTCGGGGGAGCACACCCCGCCACGGCCTCCCCAGGCAGCAGCTCCAGAAGCACTGGGCTTAGCTGCTGGAAGAATGAACGGCTCCAACTAGTTTTTCACGAGGGAAATTTTTTTTTGAAAAAGCAAACCCAATCTGACTTTTTATCAGTCATCCTTGTCTCACCCTAGATGCTGGACACAGGTGTCCCCCTCAGTGTCACCCCAGCTGTCTCGGGTGCCCACAGGGCAGCTATGGAGACAAGGCCCAGAGCACTGGACCCTCCCAGCAAGGCCAGCAGGCAGAGCTGGGCCAGGGAGGACCAGAGGCCACACCAGACGGCCAGCCCAAGTGTCCCCAGGCTCTGCCACACTGCCTGCCCAGACCCCAGAATCCAGAGGCTCAAAGCTAAAAACAAGCTCACACACGGCACATGCAAGGCTGTGGGAGCCCGACCGGCGTCCCCACCTTCCCCACCTCCCAGGGTGGGCGGGCAAAGCTGCAGGCCAGCTGCCCCGGTCAGCGCCACCCTGGTCAGTGCCGCAGGCTCCGCTCTGCTGCAGGCGGCAGGAGAGCCTCTCTGTCAGCATCTTTCCTTCCCCACCATGATCCCCACATTCCTCCCGGAAACAGCAGTGGGAAAAAAAGCAGGTGCTGGGAAGCTGGACGAGGGGCAGAGTTGGCGAGGGGGGCCTAGTCCCTGGAGAGGCTGGGGGGTGGGGTCTGTAGGGCGGAGGGCTCCACACCCCAGATGTCCCGGGCATACTCGGTGATGGTCCGGTCACTGGAGAACTTGCCAGCACAGGCGATGTTCCTGATAACCTTCTCAGTCCACTCCCGGGGGTTCTGTGGAGGGAAGCCAATGCTGTGTGACTGTGGGCTCTCCCCAGCTGAGCACTCAGCCCTGGGCAGCCTGATGGATGATGAGGAATCTCCACTGAAAAGGGGGCCTCGCCCACCAGAAAAGCTACCAGGTGACCAGGTATAGGGGCAAGGAGCCCGGGAGGTCCCCGCCCCGAATGCTCCACGTCCCGCTAGGACACTGCACATGATGGACAGAAGAGTGTTCCCTGACCAGCCAGCCCTGACGATCACCCAGTTTCCCAGCCCCTTCTGTTCCTTCACTCAAGGGAAGCCAGGAGCCGCTTCTCTGGGGAAGGGGCGGGACGGGCACCGAGTCAGGAGCACAAGCCCCTCAGGCCTTGTCCAAGGGGCACCTTACACGATCTGGACAAACCATCCCAATGACTGCACGGCCACACCCCCATCACCAGTGTCCCCTCCCACTGCCATCCTCAGTGCACCACCCCAGGCTCGGGAGCGGTTCTTCCCAGGAGACCCCAGTGGACATGCCCACTCCCCGCAGCTCACACCACGGGGGACACGCTGGCACCGCGTCCCTGCCTCTGGAGCTCTGCGCCTTAGAGCTACAAGTCCCTGACTGCTGCGGTGGCCGCTCACACCTTTCCAAGAAATTGTCCACATCCTCGTTTTAAACACACATTCTCAAGCACACAACGGTCTACACTGCTCATGAGGCCTGTCCCTCTCCCAGGGGCGGTCAGGTCGCAGGCTAGGGCGTTGGGGCCCCAGGATGGGAACTCCTGCACTGCTCACTTGCACTGTGGCAGCTGCCCAGAGGCTGCAGGAACCTGAGCCAGTGTGGATGGAGAGCAGAGGGGCGGCAGGGTCAGTCCCCGAGTGGAAGGAGCCACAAGAGGACCCGTGACTTCCTGGGAGCAGCTGAGACAGCAGGACACGGTCGCACCCCCACCAGCTCGGGACCCGAGAGCCTCACCCGGTACAGCCGGTCCACCCGAGCCTGGCAGGCCACGTACGCTTCATAATCTGCAAACACCTTGAACCTGAAGCAGGAGACGGGAAGTTGGGCTGGGCAGGCACCCTCTGCAGGACAGGGGTGGCCACGGGGCTGCTCTGTGAGCAACACTTGTGTCCTGGGGACGCTACTCTAGAAAAGACATATTTTAACCCAACGTTCTTCTTAAAAACCTGAGCGCGAGGCTTCCTGCCGATTTTGCCCCCGGGGGAGGGCATGGTGACTGCCAGGCTCAGGTCTCACAGGACTGAGAGACGGAGGTGCAGGATTGATGGTTACAGAAAATGACTGAGGCAGGAACAGTTCCTAAGACCCTGGAAGGTCCCTCCTTGAACACAGACCTCAGGCAGGAGACAGCATCCACCAAAAAAGTGACAGACCAGCCCCAAGGAGGTGGAAGTGGGACAGAGGCCGCGTCTCAGCCTCAGACGGACGCTGGTGACACCTGCGAGGAGGCAGCACTGTGAGCCTGCCCCCGTGAGCAAGGCCGCACCCGGGACTGATGGGCACAGGACACACCCCATGTCCGCAGCCACGTCTTACTTTACAGCCTCGTGAGTGAGTTCGTTCCACCCAGACCACCACTGGGCTCCCCAGGCACCGTCAGGCCCTTCAGGTCCCGGGCCCTGGATGGGCCGAGGAGGGAGAGCTCACTAAGGCCCAGGCTTCACCCAGACAACATGCAGTTTTCACCCCGCCTGGAGGACCCTCGGAATGACCCATCGGAGGGGAGAGAAGCAGCGGGCCGTCCCACCTGTCATGGTTCAGCAGCATGTTGACGACGTCCTTGAAGCAGTCCGGCTCCCTGGGTGAGAAGAAGCCACTGCTGATCTGGTCCACGGCCTGCCGCAGCTCGGGCAGGCGGTCATAGTACTCCCGGGCATTGTACCTGCGGGGAGACGGCCTGCGCCATGACAGCCGCTGGGCCCTCGAGAGGTGGGAGCCACCATGGGCGCGTCAGCCCCACGGGGTCCTGTTACTGTCTACAGACACGTCGGCGTGTGGCTCTGCTGTCCTGGTGGGGGCACTGCTCAACTTACACGGCCCCTCCCCCACCCTCCATGTGCCAGACGTGCTTGTCCCGGGATACAGGGACGGCGCAGAAAGGGCAGCAGGGCGTGCTCACAGGCTGACTTTCTGGGCTCAGCCTCTGGTGCCCAAGGCCAACTCCCCCGAGCTTTCAGGCAATTAGACAATTTCAGTTATTGCTCAGAATTAGGCCAGGCTGGGCCCCCCAGCATATCCCTGATCGTAGAAAAACCAGTAGAAACGTGAAGTCTCAACAGGAGGTGCCCTGGATGGGGTCCCGGGACAGGAAGGAACACTTGTATAAAAAACAAGGAAGCTACCCGAGTATACGGAGCTCTCTGTACTGTCGCTTCAGTTTTCCTGTAAATTTAAAACTCTTCCGAGGCTACCGGGCTTACTCTACAAAGTCAGGGCAGCAGGTCCCAGCAGCTCTGGACCCCCATCCCCGAGGACTCCTGCTCTTGGCGTTTTGGGAACAACAGGTCTGGAGCATGCAGGCTGGGCTGCGGAGCCCCAGCACAGGGAGCCTGCGTGGTGCCCAGGAGGCGGGCAGACGGGCCCTGGGAGGCCACCACAGACCTGCGACTGGTGCCCACAGGCACCAGAGGGACACACACCCTTTGCGGTCCAGGGCCTCCACATCCTCCACCCGGAGGCCGAAGATGAAGAGGTTCTCGGCCCCCGCCTCCTCAGCCATCTCCACGTTGGCCCCATCCATGGTGCCGATGGTCAGGGCGCCATTGAGCATGAACTTCATGTTGCCCGTGCCCGAGGCCTCGGTGCCCGCGGTGGAGATCTGCTGCGACAGGTCCGCGGCCGGGATCACTGCGGGGTGGGGGGGCACGAGCAAGACTCATCCGCCATGAACACTCAGTGCAGGAGCGCAGACACCCCCCCCCCGAGGGCCCCTCCCTGGTTCTGGGCAGCCCGGGTGGAGGCTCTCCAGGAAAGGGTTTGTCACTTCAGCAAAGCTGTGTTGTAACTGATCTGCGGGGACACACCCTTTCAGTCCCCTGATCACACAATACCTCACCGAACCTGTTCTTTCCTCAAACCAAAGAAACAGAAGTAGCAGCTGCCGGGATCTCTTCCCCAGCTCCCCCTGCAGTGACTGAGAGCAGAGCACGGCCACCAAGCCTGCGCTGGGGGAGGGGGCGAGCACTCTGACCCTGTCCCGGTGACTGACTGAGACCACGTCCCCTTTGCCCCTAAAAACTTTCATGGCTGAGCAGAATCTCCAGAGCTGTGTGGGGACATGAGTTGCTGGCTGAGTAACTTTTCCATTTCTGCCAGCCCTGGCCTCTTGTGTTGACTTCTCCGGCGGCACGCAGCTGGCCCCAAGGTCAGTGCCACTGAGGAGAAGCCTGGCAGGTGCAATGGATTTTTGTTCTGGAACCTTCTGCAGATGGCCAGCCAAAGTCTGGCGGGGGCCCTGGTCCTGGCCTGATGGTGTAACCGTTCCCCTGCACCCTGATGTCCCTTCCGTCTCAGCCTGTGAGGCTCCTGTAACCCCTTCAAGGGGAATCCAGCTCTCACAGGAGGAGGACTGGGGGCGGGGCGGGGGGCGAACTTCCAGTGGTCGCACACGCAGGAGTTACTCTGGGTCGTGTGCAGACTGGGCACAGCAGCCAGGACATGACCCAGTGCAGCCCCGCGGCTTCTCCCAAGCATGGGTTCCCGGCACAGGCTTCTCCACGTGGCACTGGGCACCCAGCCTCCGTCCTCCTGCCTGCCCTCGCATCCCTGCTTCCCGTCCTCAGCTCCACCCCAACCCAGCCGGTGGGCTCTCAGGGTCAGACCAGAACCCACCCCTTCAGGGTCAGCCCAGGCACCAGCCCACTCCGCACCTCCGGCCCCCACGTAGGCCTGTCTCCAGGCGGCAGGCCGCACCCAGGACCCACAAAGCAGAGCGGGCATAGGACTGAGGCTCTGAGCTGCCCTCAGAAGGACACGAGAGGCAGGTGCTGGCCCAGGTGAGAAGCAGGCAGTGAGTGAGCAGGTGGGGGCGAGTAAGAGCACCCTCTGGGGTAGGGGGAGCAGCTCGAGACCACGGACGTGCGAGGCAGAGCTTCCCCGGGGCCTCAGCTGCCAGGTGGGGTCTCTGGCCATGAAGCCTCTATGGCTGCAGGGCCTGGCCCCTGTGGCAGTTAATCTGCCTGGGAGCGAGACAGGCCCTGACCAGCAAGGACCACGTGTGCCCAGGCAGGGCAGGCTCCCTCACCTTTCTCGGCCAGGGACACCCGGTAGTTCTCCAGGAAGACCACTTTGAGCCTGTCGCCCACAACTGGATCCTGGTTGACAACGTCGCCGATGGATGTCACCAGCTTGATGATCATCTTGGCCATGTGGTAGCCAGGCGCCGCCTGGATGGACGGGGGCAGGCGCTCAGCGCAGACCCCCGTGCTAGGCCTGCCCTGGCATGGGGTGGCAGCTCCACGGGGCTGAGGCCACGGCGTCCCCACATGCCCTGCCCTCTGCCCAGCATACGGACGCACGGGGGGTGCCACGTGCACTGGCCTGTCAGCCTCAAGCTCGGGCTTCTGATTCCGGTTTGTTTTTCAGAAACAGAGAAAAGGCACGAGGGGTTCTACGAACTGACTACCAGCTTACAGGACACACAGGGAACGAAGGGAGGTCCTGGCGCAGACCTGAGGGGCGCAGTCGGGGAGCCAGCCTGGGACACAGCCCAGGTCTGTAACTAGTGAACTGCAGGGCGAAAAAAGGAGGGGATGTGGAGAGAAACTGACACGGGAGGTTCAAGAGCCACAGCCACCCACCACACGAGGACCGTGTGCCCTGATTCGGTCAGTGAGGTATCCCTAACAGGACAACCGGGCGCATGGCTCCAGCTGGATATTAGCGACATGTTTCAGGTGCAATGGGGGCGTGGTCGGTTCCCAAGGAAAAACGTCATTGTGAAGACAAGTTCTTAGGGGCAAAGTGTTACAATGTCTGTCATTTACTTAAAAACGGCTCAGCAGGAGTCGGGGGGGCGGGTCTCTGGAGGTTCTATGGAGTGGAACCGAGGACAGGACCGCCGCTGCATGGCAGCCACACAATGGGACTCCGCGATTGCGTGTCCAAGACCAGGTGCCACAGTCAGAAATGAACGTGGCTGAGCCCAGAGCAGACGCACCGGTGGCTGATGGGGCAGCCAGCGGCCTGCGTCCACCCAGCACACGAGTGTGGGCGAGGCTGGAAGGGCAGCAGCCACCCAGGGGAACGGCGCTGCCCCCGGAGGGAGGGGCCCGCAAGCCCCTCGGGCCCCCCCTCCATGCTGCGCAGGCAGGGGCCCCGTCCAGCTCCCTCCTGTCACTGAGCTGAAGGACACAAGCACACCTGGGGGCAGCACCTCTGCCCCCGCGGCCCAACCTCAAGCACGCGCAGAGGACGCCACCTCACCTTGCCCCCGATCATGACAGTCCTGGGTACAACGGCCTGGGCCGGGTCCTTCTTTATCCCTGCAGGACGACAAGGCCAGGTGAGGCCCCTGCAGCCGGACGCGCCGGAGCCCTGGCACAGGCCGTGGGGACCAGTGTCCTCAGAGCTCAGCCTGAGGCAGGCGCTGCTGAACCAGGAACCCCACGGACAAGGGGGCTGGCTCCCCCGTCCTACACGTGGTCCAGGTCAGCACAGAAGGCCAGCCAGGAAGAGGTGCTTCCAAGAAGCTCAGTGGAGAAGCTGCACCTTTGTTTCCAGAACCACCCAACACAGGAGCCGCTCTGGTCACCACACTGAGGGCCCTTGCACGTGGCGAGCACTTGAAAGACAGGTGACCCAGGGGTTCTGGAAATTCACCATCAGCCTTGAGGGGCATCAGTGAGACCCCACGCCCCTTCCCTTGCTGGGGCAGAGGTGAGAAGCCCCCAGGCCTCCCCTGCACAGGGCAGATGGTGGGGGGGTGGCGTACAGCGCTCGCCAGGGAGACGGGTCAGCCCTGTGATTT